CCAGGTTTTAGCAGCAGTGCGGCTGCAGGGCTGGCTTCTGTGAGAAGCTGCTAGAAGCTTCCACCACGTCTGGCAGAGACAAGCCCTGGCAGCTCCAAAGACAGACTTGCCACTGGCAAGCCTAGGACAATCAGAAACTGTGGTAATGCCTCTGTGATAACACAATTAAGAAGAAAGAAAAAAAAGTTACTGTGCAGTTGCAATTGCCAGAGAAGAGTGGGGTGAGAACACATGGGAGGAAAACCTCTGCAAACACCAAGGTCAGTGGAGAAGGCAGGGCAGGAGGTACCCCAGGCACCAGAGCTGGGGGGATTCCTCTGCAGCCTGTGGTTCAGTCCATGGTGAGGCAGCTGTGCCCTGCAGCCCATGGAGATCCACGGGGATGCAGAGATCCACCTGCAGCCCGTGGAGGAGCTGAGGGTACCTGAGAAGAGGCTGTGACCTAGTGAGTAGGCCCATGGAGAGAGGAGACCACGCTAGAGCAGCCTGTCCTTGAGGGACTGCACCCCATGCAAGAGTGACCCTACTCTGCAGTGATTTGGGAGGACTGCTGCCCATGGGATGGACTCACACTGCAGCAGTTTTCAGCAGCTGCTTATGAGATGGACTCAGGCTGGAAGTTTGTGGAGAACTGTCTCCTGTGGGAAGGCTCCTAAAGTGGCATGGAGAAACAATTCCCCCCTGAGCAACCAAAGAAACCACAGGTGATTCAAAGGAATCGGGTTATGGTCAATGAAATTGATCATAACCCCTTTCCCTGTCTCTTTACACTGCTGGAGGAGGAGGTAGAGCTGGGAAGAAGGGAGGGGTGAGGGGAAGGTGTTCTTAAGGGTTCATAATCCTGCTCTGATTTGGTTAGTGTAATAAATTCAACTCATATCTCTATCTACAGCCTGTATTGCCCATGATGTTTGATGAATGATCTCTCCCAATCCATATCCCAATACATAAGCCCTTCATTATGTTTTCTATTCCTTGTCCCGCTGGGAAGGGGAATGACAGAGTGAACCGGCATGCACATGGCATCATCAGCCGCTACAGAATCAAATCCCATGGCTGTGTTTTCCTTTAACTGTGGTGGAGCAAGAGAAGACTCAATTTCCCACCCTGTCTCTACTGTACTAACAAACAAGGCAATATGAAGTATCTCCATATTTCTGACTCACCTTTCCAGGGCAATCACATTGATAAACATACCCCTAGCCCTCACTATTAAAAGCAAAGTTTGGTCTTACAGAAGCTGGTATTTCCCCTTACTCACAGGGAAGACTCTCTAAAGGTCCCCTTGCTCTGAGGCTGTGTTGTGACCTGAACTTACGAAGCTACAGATTTTGACGTCAGTGTGGATACCTTGTTTCCAGTCTCTCCAGCCAGTACATGCTCCTCCATGTCCCACTCAGCTCATGGACTCCTCCACTCCCAGATCACTCAACCATCTCACTGACTCTGGGCTTTTGTTCCAGCCTCTCCCATTTATTCTCTCTTCACATTCACACTGATGCCTGGTCCCATACTACTCTGGCTCCTCACAGGTTTTCCACCGAGGGCCTTTATCCTTGCTGTCACCTCCTCCCAGCTGTCTGTGTCCATGGATCACGGCAAGGGCTACTTTCCTGTCTGCAGCTCCAGGGAAAAGTAGAGCAGCCCCTTAAATGAAGTCTTCCAAGGACAAAAAAGCCTAATAGCTGACCTTTTGGTCTGAGACACTTCTGCTAAAGGAATAAACAAATAAATGCACATGAAATTGCAATTTCACATGAAGAATGCTGGAGATGTTGCTGCAATGCCTTAGCTCATTTAGAATTCCAGTTTAAAGATCTAAAAATAGTAAAGGGAATCCCTCCCCTCCCTGGAATTCATTTGGCACCAAAGGTATGTAAGCTAAAATAACAAAATAGAAGTGCACCTGGAAACCACAGAAATTTACAAATGATGCAAAAAAGTCAAAGCAAAGCTCTCCTGGAAGGTTCTCCATACCTCAAATAATGTAATTTAAACAAAAGAGCTTCCATTTGAAGCAGTTCAGTTCAGTTCACTGTGGAATTTGCCACCTTGACGGTAAGGATCCCTGAAAGGACAGTACTGACAGCAAAAAGCCTCATGCACCTGCACTTTTTTCTTGAACAGTTCAATAGGACAACACACTATGTGACAACACTACATGTACCTTCATCCACTGCCAGTACTGCTCCAGGCTTCAGCAATATGAATCTATTAAATAATGTTAAAACCATTGTATTTGAGAGGGTTCTCCAAAGCAAAGAATAGTTCTTGCTGGACTTCTAGAAATTCAGTAACATTCCATTTCCACCTCCTTGACTGCAGTGATGTTTATCACACAACTGCTGTAATGTTTGTAGCATAGCTCCAAAAGATTTTGGTTCAAACATACAGTAAATTTTACACAACAAAGCATTTTTGAGCATTTTGAAAGACATGCAGATCATGGAAATGATGCAGTAACCTGTCTGCATAGTGCTGCGACATCTGTCTTAGACTCCTGAAAAGCTGACATGGATCCTCAAGGGACTTCCCTGATTAAAAAAACATTAATTAATTGAGTAAACATCTGTGCTGTTTTCCAGCTAGTAACTAAAATTAGCTGGGCATTGTAACCTCCTTAAAAGTGAGAAGTATACAGAATAAGTGCAGTCCACTTTCTCACATTTGGGTAGGGCCAAGCAACTTTTTGCAGCAGCATTTACCATAACGGTTCCTGAATGATTTTTCTAGCCTTTGGTGGTAGTTTCTTCCTGGCTAGCCTGAAAACAGGAACATTTTATTCTTGGCTTCACACATTAACATATTGACCATGACAGTGCTGACATTTGTTGCTAAGTAAAATTGATTGTAAACGGTCTAGAAAGCTGCCATTACATTTAGAAATTGCTTTTAGAGTTTGAAATTAAATACTGTCAACACAACTCATGTTTCCATTTATAGACAAATTTGACAGGAATTTTTATGGCTTCACATAGAAAAGAAGGAGGAAGACAAGACTAATTTTTTTAATTGCTCTCAAACTGTATTACATAAAGTAACTGACCTATATGGTATCATAAGAGCTCAAGGACTATTCAACAGGACAGGCTAGATGAGAAAATGTCATTTTACACATGGAGATGAAACATTGCTTCATCCCCCTTCCATTTTCCAGTGCAAACCACGAAGTCAGAATTCACCCAGGCTCATCCTTTTCCTCATATTGCAGATATTCTCAGTTATTTAAACACAGCTTTATTCCCTGAAATCAAAGGAGGGAGCCACTGACATGCAGTAGCACAATGAGGTGGAGATTATCAGGAGAAATGAGATTTCACAGCATGTGACAGAAGCCAACTGCAAGTATAGAAATTGCAAGTATCAGATAACTACAAAAGGGACCATCTCTGAACGAGAAGGCTGATTCACTTAAGCTGCTCTTAACAGAAGTGCGGACACTTAGTCTAGAGGTTTCAATGCAAGAGCCAGTCTGGAATTAGTACAGGAGTGCTCAGACATTAGGCTGCAGTGAGAACTGGTGGTTTCCTACAAATATCATAGGTATTTGTAAAATTTTCAGAGACTTACAGAAATATTTATTTCCAAAGAGCATATGGAATGACTCTGCACAGTGACTGTACCCAGCCACTACTTGCCAATGCTCTGACTTGTGTGCTTTTTCTCTTAAATTTTCTCATGCATTTTCTCATAAGTGACTTTACAATATTGGGTGGTTCAGGGACAGCAAACATCTCAGGACATTTGCTTTAGTATTGTAGATTTTCCACAGTGATTTACTTTCTGATCTCTACTTAGTAAACCAAACAATGGAAGCCTGTGAATTTCTGTTCAAGGCAGGTTTGACACGTCTCTGCCTTGTAATCCCTCATCTGTATCTTTCTCTTTAGAGAAGGGGACCAGGAAGAGGTACCCTAGAGCACCCAACTATCAGCATCCTGGGATAGAGCAATGGAGCAGGCAGCACCTGGAACCTGTCTGGTTCCCTCACATGGCTCTCAACTACAGAAGTGACCAGCCATGGGCAACCTAATTGGACCTGGAATCACTTGAAATTTCTGTAGAAGCAGGTAAGTTAAGCTGGGAATTCATCAGATCTTTCTTGCTGTAGCATCACAACAATTATGATCTTATTTTACCTATTTTCCTCTTCTTCTCAAGTGTTTCATTGTCACAGGTGTTCCAGTAACACAAATCTGGCAATCACATTCTGTCTGGAATAAAATTGTTTCACACTCTTCACCACTCTTCACAGTGCAGTGAATTGACATCTTAATGAAGGATTAAAAAATAATCTGTTTGCTGTCATGATATCATTCCTTAGGCCGACCTACTTTCTTTGGGCAGTAAATATAGTTTTTGTGCTACCTGGTCCAACTTCAGCCCAGTATCAAACCAGTGCATATAAGGAAAAAGAATTTGTCAGTGCCAGCTCATAGCTTTCTGCAAAAGGGACCGCCTTTTCCTGTCTGAGAGGTTTATGCTTCTGAAAACTAAGCAGACTGTTCACAGACTGCAAGCAAGAGCCTCTAAAAGAACTACTCAAGTTTGACAGCTTACACTCTCCTAGTAACTGGTATTATACTATTCCCTGAGAAGCAAGGAATCTAAGGCAGTTGCTATGAAAGTGCCACCATTCATACCATACCACAAGGTATTCAGAGCTGAATAACCCACGGGTAGCAGAATTCGTGGAGAGGACAACCAGGAGATGTACCTCAGATGTCTTCTCCCCACATTACAGAGTGCACAGGGATGTCCTGGAGACTATGGCCATCACTGAGTCTTACTGGAGAGAGGACACATCTCAGAGAACGTATGACTACTTCTAATAGTGAAATAAAAAAAAAAGCTGAGGCTATTTGGGAAGTGTTTGCATACAGAAGCCAGCAAGCTTAAAACAAGCATTGGGGAAAAAAACCCATAATCATAGCCATAGATCTGATCATCACCCTGATCACATAAAAAAATGGTCTGTGTAACAAAGAAAAAACACTTACCCTGGAGTCCTTTTCCAGACGAATTTTGTGTTGAAGGCTGCGTCTTCTCTTGGCTTTAGCAAGACCATTGTGATAAAAAAAGTATCCAGATTCTAAAAAAGGGAGCTGAGGAAGAAGAGAGGAAAAAAAAATAATGGAGCTATTGGCTGTTAATAAGAATGACAAGAAAACTTTTACCTGTGAAGTGATTCAGGAATCTACAAGACTTGTGAAGAGTAATACCAAAGAGCCCAAATCACTCTTCAGAATGCCACTTTTAAGTTATTTTTGAGAAGTGCACCCAGCAGCATTAAAGTTGTTTGCTACAGGTTTGCAGTGCATAACTTCATTTGGATGCACTTGGTACTCTTTCCACCTTACATTAAGGTCAACAGTGTCAATATTTCTGATAGACACCCCAGATCACAAGAGGAAGCATTTCTTATTTCCTGAAAAAGCCAGAATAAAAGAACAAAATTAATTGCAAAAGATTTGAAACTCCAGAGAGCATCTCTCACCAAGAGAGCCTTATATAAATGCTTTGCTGAGCTGCTGTAACATACTCAAATTGACACCATAAGATGGAAGGCAGAAAGCAAAGAGTTTTTCACTTTCAGAAAAATATGATACTTGGAGTTTCTTCTGAGCACCCTGAAATGGAACACACAAAGCATATTAGGAAAACAGACAGCTCAGTGCTCAGGGGGGAACAGTGTTCTGCACCTTTAATGTCCAAGACATTTAAGGAGCAAGCAAACACCTCTGGAGGGTTTCCCATCATTAAATGCACTTCTCTTCTCAGGACTGGCAGAGAGCGACTGGAAGGCTCACAGACATTTAGCTTTTAGAAGGCTAAAAGACATAGTGTTAGGAGAACACATTGCATTTCCAGCAGTTAATTAGGAAGCTCCACTTGAATCTCAAGTGATGAGTTCTTTCCCCATTTGAACTTATTAGGTACATTCTAGTTGAACATTTAAATCTAAGCAACTAACTGCACATTTTTAAACTAAGCTAGTCCTTGTAAAAGCTGGAAAAAAATGGTTAGGAAGTTACACATTAATGCTATGAATACTTCAACTTCAAAGGTTTGACTACCCTGCCTGTAAAATACCTTTCTAAAAGAGATATTCTAGAACAGCTATGACAGCCTGTTCCTTTCCTTTTTATTATCTGTACTTCATGATAACATAAACATCTTAGCAGGAGATCAAAGTTCTTTACTGAAATACCAAGGATGACGTCTAGATAGAAAAAATGTTGAGAAAACCTGGGCTGAATACAGGTAGCGGCATCATGCTGCCATAAAACAGATTCTGTTCCTGTATACACATATATACAGTGCATAAATATAAATTACCTTCTATGAAATTACCTTCTGTTTCAGTCAATCTATCACTATATCTGGTACACTTCCACAAACATAATTTACTATACATGGAAAGCAGTGTGGAAATAGAAGATGGTGAATTCTAAAAGTCTAAAATCTGGTAATTCCAAAAATGAGTAGGCAAGTTTGGATTTTCTTTTTCTTCAAAGTACTTCTTTGTGTTAATTGAAACCTTTACTGTCAGTGAAATGAAAGCATTTAATTTTCATGTTAAAATTCCATTCTGTATGATATATAAGCATGAAGTAACTTTTTTAAAAAATCAAAGCATTCTGTTCTGATAAAAAAGACCTCTTTTAAAGTGTTTATGAAAAGTTAAGGAGATTTCATCAAAATCATTATGGTTCCCTGGAGCTGATCTGCATGGCTGACTGGAAAGCTTTTCTAGGTGAATAATCAGAGTATTTAGCTTCAGCTCCACACACTTGTGAAAAATACAACAGATGAGATAAAAGGAGAAAGAAGACTATGAAAGCTCACAGTAAAGGCCACCAAAGTCTCCTGCACTTTGTACACATCCTCAGAGTCAGAGCTATTGTGCTGGTTTGACCAGGAAGTGGAATTCTGGGATGCTGTGGTCAAACCAATGGGTGCTCAGATTTTGATATTGGCACCTGATATGGCCAGTGGGGTTTGGACACACCTCTGAGACCTCACAGGGGTTAACACCAGAGCTTCGTCCCTGGGAGTTTCTCTTGGGACTTCAAGGCAAAGAGGTCGGATCTCCCTTCCCCGTTCAGCTGCTGCTGCTGGGCAGGGGAGGGGCAGCCCTGCAGTAGGCCTGGGCCTTGACAGAGGTGGGGGATGAGGAGGCCCTTGAGGATGGAAGGGTGGAAGAGCACCAAGAGACATCGGGCAGCCACCCCGCCACGCCAGGAGAGAGAGAGGGAGAGCCGGCGACAGAATGTGATAGCAGCCGGCCCAGGAGGAGAAGGTGCCCGGCCAGAGCAGCGTGGGAGTGCCGGAGCTCTGGGACAGGCAAAGACTGAAATTTTTAACCCTTTCCTTACATGATTGGGACCTTGCAAAAATGCTGATCCTCCTGAAGCTGAATGAGAAGAGAGATAAGAGATAAGAGGGGATGGGCCACGAGGGAAGTGCAGAGACTCTTGAGTGGGGGGAGAGATGATGGAGTGGCCTTTTGGCTGGACTTTTCTTGTGTGGCCATAGACGGAACCATTTCTTTTTTTCCTGTGACACAGAGACTGCATTTAGGGGGAGGCAGTGCCTCAGAACCAGGAGGGTTCAGTTTGGTACCCCTCGGCCCCAGGGGGTGCAAAAATTTGGGAGGGACAGATGTCCCGAAGGAGAGACTGTGCCTTTTTTTTGGAGTGAGACAAGGCATCCTTAAAAGACAACCCTAAAAGCAGCTCTGGTCCATGCACAGTGATGAGAGCACTGGGCATGCAAGGAAGATGTCACGATGGCAAAAGGACTTTCCGGGCGGTGCTATGAGTGACATGGAAACACCTGAGGTTTCAACAGTGTTTCCAGGGGAAGCCTATGGTGCAAGAAGGACTCCTCTCCTCTTGATGAACTGAAGATTGAGTATTCTAAAGAGTGGTGCCAGACTGAGAGTTGGTGATTTGGGAGAATGTATTGCGTTAGGAAATTTGGTGGGGAGGAGGAGGAAAGTGCTTTTGTAAGGTTTTCATTTTCCTTGTGTTTTTTTTTCTTTTCTTGTAGTTTAGTTAATTAAGTTTTCTTTATTTCTAAGCTGGAGCCTACTTTGCTTATTCCTGGTCACATTTCACCTGGGAGAGGGTATTCTCATGGGGACACTGGCTCTGTGTCAGGCCTAAACCATGACAGCTATGAAAGTTCAAATTCTGTCTGGGTTTAGGTAACTGTTTTAAAAAGCAGATTTACACTTAAACTTGTATCTGACATTTTTACCAACTGGTTGATCAGGCATTTACATAATCCAAAGTTTGGTAATAGTTCTGGCTCTCCAGGAAAAGGCCCCTTCCCCCACACTTAATACATTACTCAATGCCTCAAAAACATGTAGGGCAAAAACAATCAAAATAGGCAGATTACAAGTTACAGCTTGAATACCATCCTTTGCTGTCTGTGGCCCAATTAGTCTTCTAATTCTCTCCATTAAATCAAGCTACTTTTCTTCCTTTCATTTTAGTATCTACCATTAAAATCAAATCCAGTCAAATATTGATCTTGATGTTCTTCCTTTAAGGATTAGACTAAGCAATTCTGATAACAGATATTTGCTGTTTATTTTCCGTATAAGGTTAGTCTCTAATACTTCTTAGCACGAAGTAATATTGCATATAGTAACCTTTTAAAGCTGGTGTATTCAAGTTTGACCATAAGCAACTACAATTAGTACAACAATGACTAGATTTATGGACAAAGTAATAAGATTGACTAAGATTATTCCACTCTTTCCACAGTTATTCCAGTAATCTTTGAGGTACTTGGATATTTTACAATTCACATGGTTTTTCACACCAGATCAATTAAACCCAGAGGGAGACACCTAGGAAGGCAGCTCAGTAAGGCAATACCTGAAGGATTGTGATCCAGCACTGGTGATTGTGAATAATTAATAGCAGAAACCAAGCAATTTTCAGGAAGAATCTAAACCCTGCAGTAAATCCTTGAAATCAATGAACATACATTTGGGAGAAATCAGACACCAGGGAAAGGGCCTAAAATGTCAATCTTTGAAGAGGATTTTCCACTAAGATCTGTGAATACAAGGAATGATTGAAACTTCCAATTCTGAGGGACTCCTACTACCAGGCCAGTAACTTATTGGTCCCAACCAAATGGAGGACACAGGCAGCTCACAGGAGGATTTACATTCCCATTATCATCTACTCCAGTAAATGTCTTTTGATTTGCCAAAGAGCAAATAGTGCTATATAACACAAATAAACAGTGCAAATACTGAAATGAAATTAAAACAGATCTCCTGTACATAAAGACTTTGAAGTGTCATCAACAGTATCTGCTCTGTAATGTTGTAGCTGTAAAGCTGGAATTGTTATGGAGTAAAATTGCTATTCTGGCAGCAGCAGGCTCAGCATGTACCATGGAACAATAATGCACTCAGCCTCGTGGTTCAGGTCCTTTTTGTAAGACAAAAGCAATGCTTCCTGCCCTCAAAAAAAATTAGCAATTAAGTAAGATAACTAATTACTGGAAAGTACTTTAACATTCAAGTGAGGAGGATTATTTAGAAATAGGCCTAGTTATTGCCTTGATGTATAAATATTGTCCATTACAAGGCACAACTGCCAGAATCTCAGGAATTACAAGCACTTCATTACTTGCAATATTTGTATAACAGTACTGGTGGAAAATGCATATGAGCAAAACCAGAATCACAAATACAAAACAACAAACAGAGCAAAACATTTTATATCCACCTGTCTCCTTCTTTTCTTTATATTTGCAGCCTCCTTGTGGTTATTAATAACACTTTCTGGAGCAAAAATGAAATGTCTTTAACCCTCTTCCTGAAGGATGTGGACCAGAAAATAACTTTTAAAAATTCAGTGATCAACTAAATGCAGCAAAGAAAAACTCTTTCAGTGGAAGAGGCTTAACTGAAATCAAAATAGACTTGATGATCTTAGAGTCTTTTCCATCCTTAACAATCCATGATTCTATGAAGACTTCCAAGATACACCATTTGGTACAGAAAGAAGAAGGACAAGTTTCAAACTGTCCACAGTTTTAGCACTAATACATCTGAGGTTTCTTAGCTGTC